TGAACTTGACATCTATAATAGGAGAAAAAAGAATTCAAGTTAGTTGATATTAACCCTTAATTATTAACCCATAAATTTAAATTAAGGCTGAGATCCATATTTTCGATTCGAACTTTGATGAGGGATGTCATAATCAAATTCGAATCTATTTTAGGTAGGTAAAGCTTTTACCAATTTCAATCTCATGAAACTCCTAGATCTTTTGAGATTCATTGAACTATTCAATGACATGTTTAATCTCGATTATGCTCTCACTTTTGTGACTGCGATGCCGAGGATCTCAAACAATATGTGAATAACCATGCAAATTAGCTTGGTACTCTTGATGTCATTTATCATCTCTATTTTAATGTGCCGGTTAACCACACACGCTCCATTAATCAACGATAATTTTCGAGACACCCATTACCATCTTTTATTAGTCCCACATTAGTGTGTCGGTTAGCCACACGCGCTCCACTAACGACTTATAAAGTGTAATGTGCAATTTCATGGATTAGCATACAAATTCACATTTTCCTAAAGTAACTAAGAGTGGGACTTAAAATAGTTTAGTTATTTTATATCATTATACTTTTAATGAGATTATGTCCTATCAAACTCGTTCGACTAATGACCCTCCACCAATCAAGGGAGCGGTGGGTAAGATTGGATACCCAGTGACGATCATTTTATAGGCCGCTTCCTTAAACTCCCCTTATAGATCGGCTTCATAAATGAGGCGTACTAGCGGTTCGACTGACTTTTCTTATACATATAATATATATTAAACTTCTAATAATATATGGCATAAGGTGAATTTTAAAACATTTTAAAATTGCAAGGGTTTAATCTTTTAATAAATTAAACTTTTAATTAAATTAAATTCAAACCATTTTATGGATTTATTAATTGTCCTTTAATTAATTACTTATTTAAATTAATAATAAGATCCATATGGATGTATTTTAAACTTTTCAAAATACCAATTATTATCTGACATTAATTATTTAATTCAATTAATATCTTGATATATTTATACACTTAAAATAATCATCTTAATCAACAAAAAACAATTAATTAAATCAAATATTTATCTCCTAACTTCTATGCTTTTAATTTATCATCATAGATACACCAAAATCGGATTTGGAGGATAAGTATAGCAAATAATTATCATATAAAAGCAGATTAGGTAGATAAGACACAAAATTTCAGATCTGACAACTCAACACGACGTGTTATATGATCACCACGCTGTGTTGGGTGCCAGCACGCCGTGTTCGAAGAACACCACGACATGTTTGATAAAATGACGATTATGTTCACTTCTCCTTGTTCAAGTTCACCATTGTATCAATTCAATAGAAAACTAAACATACGCTCTGATACCACTGATTGGTTATGACCATAACAAACAATCCTATGTGTGCATGCAGCCCTAAATAATTTGATCTACGTTCTCTCTAATTGAACATACAAATTGAACAACAAAACATAAAACCCTAGCATGCTACTATACATTTCAAAATTCACAAATAGGGTTAGAATAATCATACATTAATCACTATATAGTAATAGTAATCGAAATCCTTGTGTTGTTGAAGCCTTGAGAGCAAGCATCACAAATGTCACGCCTCTAATGGTTCACACCCAACACTAGCAATGGAAGAATGATTGAGAAAGAGGAGAGGCTTCAAATTTTCAGTTGGTGCTTCAAAAGAAGGGATGGCCGAAATCCATAGGGTATATCCCTATTTATACTGCAGTCAGGAAACCCTAGACAAACCCAAATCCAAGATAATTTTAAACCGGGTAATTATCCACTTTCCTGTTTATCCTCCAAGGATAATTCTAGAATTCATTAGGCATGAAGATATCATCCAATCCTTTAGGAAAAACCGTCCATAGCCAATGGAGGGTTATATATTACCTTTTGCCCAACTATCGAACAATTACAATTCAGTCGATGCACTTTTTATTAATTCTTTTAAACCCAAAATTAATTCTAATTAATTTCTGATTAAATATTAATTAAATAATACTATTTCAAATTAATATATTATTTTCATAATATATTAACAAATCATTTATTTTAATTTATTAATCAAATAATAAATTCAACATCTTTCTCCAAAATCATCATTCCTAGTTGCTAGTCTTGAGGGCAACCTAAAAAGATTGTGCTACTATCAATTTAAGTATATACCAATTATAGTTAAGGGCTTAAACACCTAATCTAATAATATATATATATATATATATATATATATATATATATATATATATATATATATATAATATATATATATATATATATATATGTGTGTGTGTGTGTGTCGAGGCCTTTTTTAACTAACATTTTAACGGATTTAAAGTATATAATTTTGAGTCCTAACTTTGATATATATACTTATAATAGTTCAATTTAATTTATTTAAACATTTGTATATAGTTATAAAGTCTCAACTTAATTTGTTTGAACAATTTTCATACTTTTACTGTTGAAATTATTTATGTATGTATATCGTGGTGAATTTAATAAAAATATAGTGCATACCGATGTCACCGCATATTAGATTTTGACAAACTAGATATACTTTGAACTTAAAGCAAATCTTTTTTCTTTAAAGTTAAACTACTTTTAGTTTTATTTTTAAGTTTCAAAACTTTTGAAGCCGACACCAAATAATAAAATCTTTTGAAACTTTGAGATAAAAATATTTTTTTTATGATAACATGACCACTAATTAAAATGACCACATTATGATCAAGATTTAAGAATAAGAGAAACAAATAAGTTGTGTTATATAAGTTGTATCATATTACAGAAAGATTTATTTTTAAAAGATGACTATTATTTTATCTTTATGATAAAATAATTATATAAAGAAATCAGCTACACAAAGACTATTTTCTGAAAATAAATCGGTCATTATTAAATACTATCTAGTTTAGAAATTTTCAAAAAATGGTTTTTGTATAGCTGAAGTTTTTTTTTTTAATAATTTCGATTTACACCAACTTTTTATATCAAATTTACTTTAAAACTAATAGGGATTTCTCATACATAATTAATATCCTGCTGTAACGGTTGTGGAAAATCTCCATTAGTTCTATACATCCCAACACATGAACAAAAAATGTAATTTATTCAAACTTTTATCCATTATATATACAATAAATTCCAAGTATGCTTACAAACAGTAGCAAGTTTTGAGCCAAGCCAAACAATTTTTCTTTTAGTTGGTTCGTTTAAGTTTAAGCTGGCTGGTTTATCTTGGGCTCAGTTCTTATGTGTTTCTCTTGCTCCATTTCTTTTCTGTACAATGGAATTTTTCCAAAAATCTCTTCCCGCCGCTTTCTCATTGTTCTTTACCGACAATGAGGGTTTGTAATTTGTATTTTTGGATCAGGTTATTTTTAAATTTGTGACTGATTTCAAGTATTTAATCAAGAATTTGGTTATGGGTTCTGAGAGTCTTTGTATTCAGGGTGTTTTTATAACATTTTCATCTTCATACAAAAATCAGATAAATGTTTTCAGTTTTTCAGTTAAATTGGAATGAAATTTGTATGCACTCATAACAGTTCCATTTGAATTAGTTGAACCTGGAGTTGTTTTCCTTAAAATCAAACTACTTGGTAGAAATTTACAATTTTGAATTTAATGTATGCTATATAGGTCTTTCAACATGTTGGTATGCGATCTTTATCCTGCTTAACAATTATAGCCTTGCAAATTGATGATGAGTTCATTCAAGATGATTTCGACCTCTGCGGGTTAAGTTGTCAAGTTCCTTATTTTGCTTATGCACTTGATCTAATCTTAGATGCAGAATCTTCTCATGGTAAGTTGTATTACTTTTTATGAACCTTGGATATTCTTTGGTATACTTTTTTTAACAATTTCTCTCTTTCTTAAGTTAAGGGTGTTACGTGCGTGAGAACTAACTTAAATGAGTAAAATCTATTAACTTCATCTATATAACTATACAAGTTGAAGCTATGAGTTTCTGAAAGAGCTAACTATTTGGACCCATATTTCAAATAATGAAAATGTGTTCCTACTTTGTTGCATTTAGTCCTTAAGGCGTGTTTGGTTTGTTTATTCCTATGGAACTGGGATTGAAATTCTATTCATTGGAGTGTCAATTCCCTCAAAATCCTTAAAACTTTTTATTTTTAATGTGATTTGAAGCAAAAAGTCTAGAAAAGTCTTTTTTTTTAATCATAATCTTTACATTGGTGTTACTAGATATTTATTTTATGATACCTAGATTTTGTTATAAAATAATTGCAGGAACCATTTAAATCTTTACCAGGGGAGTTGAGAGTCCACTGCCGATGCATCAGAAGTCTAGAAGGCATACCAGAAAGCAACACTAATTAAAACATCATTCTGATACCAATTTCCAATCCGAGTTAAATGGTTGGCTTTGAATCCATGTTTCTTTCCCGGTTCTTCTCTTTGTTCACCTCTTTCTCCATTGTTTTGTTCTCTTTTTGTTTATTCTAGCAGCTCATTGACAAATCTTCGCAAATATCTTCAAAAAGAAGTACCGATATACTTTAAATAATGACTTTTTTCAATATTTCATTGTTCCCAAAAATGGCCCGTACAATCCGTTAAGCCTGTACGTGACAGCCAAGACCTCTCCATTGGCACATGCCAAAAGTGGAAAGGCGTCTGTGTCGTTCAATTTCTAGCCTAACAGTATCAGGTGTTAATGAAAAAGTGTCCCTCAGTCGTAGGTTGAGAGTTATAATCGGACACGAGACAATATATGTAGTTTAAGAGTATATGTAGTAGGATGTGTTTAGCACTTGTAAAAAAATAGCATTTGCAAACCAATGACATAACCCACCAGAAGCTAGCATTTGCAAACACATAAGAAAACGCTAAATGAAAGGTAAACGACAATAGTTAACATGTTGGACTCAAAAGGACCACATACAGACACACACACACACAAAAAAAAAAGAACGATGCATATTCGTTCTAGAACTACTCTTGACCTTTAAAACACATGAACTCTCTCGTTTTCAAAGTTTCGGAGCCTATGAAAGCTAGGACGATAAGCAAATCCTATGAAATAGCAAGCGAATGTTTCCGGATCTACAATTACATTCCTCCGAGGACAGTAAACAAATAGTGCGTCGCTATAAGATGCCATCAAAATAGTTCCATCTTTTAAACCCTTAATTATATACAAAGGTTCCAAAAACAGCAAATCAAGATGATAGCTGATACTTTGGTGGATCACAAACTCTTTATGCCAAGATTTCTTGATCCCATATTCCTTCATCACCCAAACTGTGAATGTATACTCGTGGTCAGTATCAGATTGACATAAACAATCATTTATGACTCCCAAACTTAGAAAATTTTCCTCACTTTCAGGAGAAGGAGATGGGAACAACTCAAATGTCTCCTTGTGAAAATCAAAAGCACAAATCCTTTCAGGGGAATCATGGTCAGCAACAGTCCAATGAGCATGACCATTTAAAAATGGCCCATAGGTTTTGTGGATGAGAGAGTATGATACAGGACCTACACTTCTCCATCGACCAGTGCCAAGGGTGTAGACCTCCGCTTCTAATGGTGGTGTAGAATCTTCAGGTATAGCCCCGTGAAAAATCCGTATCACTTTGTATTCCTGTGTAAGTGATCCAAAACCAAAACTATACACGATACTTATTGCTAAATTATCTTTGTAGAATCGTGGCCTTGGGAGAATCATATATTCTCTGGTGACTGGATTGCATATGTAAGTGTTCTCATGTTGAGGAACACACTGCCACAGGCAGACCAAGCCGTTGACTGAGCCCACTGGGAGTATATCAGAACAATGGAAAATGGGTGCAAGGTTAAGGTCAAGGCTCATGACAGGGTCGTTGTGTAAATGGTGGTGATCGAGTTCGTCTTCCACCTCCACCCATTTCAAAATGCCTGCTGCGCGCTTATCTTCATAATTTGATTTATGATGAATCATGACGATTTCAGATGATCTTGAGATGTGACTATTGGCAAAGTAAGAGTCGGAAATGAGATCCATCCACTTTTTGCATACACACTTGCAATGGATGATTGTCTTGACGGGAAGTCTTGAGAGAATATCAACCATGATTGGTACAGGTAAGTCTTCCATGGATGGATCGAGAAGATTAACAGGCACCTAACAAATATTTTACTAATAGTAAATAATAACAATCAACTAAAAGGAGCATTGATTATGAAGAGATTTTTACCTAAAGAGAGATCGAGAGCATTGAGAAAGAGAGATCAAGTCTCTAAAACCAAGTCGGCGAGACTCCGAGAGAACCAGCACTGCCCAGCGGCGGCGGTGACGGTGGCTCAGAAGGTTTTTTCTTTGATTCACACTTCAGGGTCGAGAGTGCATTTATTTTCTGTGAGAAAAAGATTCGAGTGTTATAATTGGCCATTCGGGGAATGATCAAAGATTCGATAGTTGGGCCCCTTCCCAGGTGGGCCAGGTCCCCTTCCGCTATTTAAATCCGCCCTAATATCTAAATAGTGGTTTAGGCTTGATACTGGTTATCGATTATTCATGGTGATTTACATATTTTTTTGGTGTATTTTTGCGTTTTATAATAGAGATTAGAGAAACTTCAGAAAATATTTTACTTTGATGACAAATAGGAACTGTTAAATATCTGGCCGCGTCCCTTAAATTAGTTTGGCCATGTATCATAGATTTATGGATCGGAAAAGTAGAAATGTTGTTTGATTTTCGGTAAGTATTTGAACCATAATCCCCTCGATGTCTAATGTTGTTCAGTTTGAATATCACATTATCATGTGTTCATTTTGTTGTGGCATTGTCGGTGCCATTAGTCAAGTTGGCTATAGATTAAGCTCGAGTTTTTAACAAGATAAGCGAGTAACTCGAGAGCACCTCGACTAATTTACATCCTCACTTAATCTTTGAATCAAGCTTGAACAGGAAATAAGGAACTTTTTTATTTTTACAAGCAGTGACAAACACAAGAATTTATAGCAGTGGTGTCACAAAAAAAAATCACTCAACATATACTAATAGGCGAACTTTTTTTAATGGTTGCACCTTAAATAATACTATATATATATATATATATATATATATATATATATATATATATATTAACACTTCAAAACTAAAATTAAGTAGTGGCCCGAGACCATTGGAACCTCCTAGGTCCGCTACTGCATGAGAGTTTTTAGACGAGACACTAAGATACAAAAATATTGAATACAAGGCATGTGGGCCTAAAATACGAAATTCCTAGATCAAGAGAGGTAATTTTAATGGTTTTGTGTTTTAGTATTGAATATTGATATGGATGATGTTACAACTTATAACATTAAAACAAAAGGTCTTGTTTGTGGTTGTTTGACTTTATAGACTTAATGTGGTAAGTAATATGTAGGTGTTTTTTTTTTCGACTTAATATAGAAAGTCAGGAAAATAAACTTTCCCCAATAAGTCCCGATGTTCTACAAAGTTTTCCTTCGTTTCTTTAAGTTTGAATTGAAGTGTTTTTCTTAAATATTTTTCAAACATCAGTCATCTATATATGTTATCATGGTTGTTTCTTTCTGACTTAATACAGAAAGAAATGCCTAATAGACAAAGTTTACAGAAATGAGATTTTTTCAATTACGTTAAAATTTGTCTTCTGAGTTCTGCCTTTGTTTATTTTTTTCATTGAATTTGTAGATTTGTTTCAGGTGAAGAGGTGAAGAGACACAGGCAAAGACATATTTTGCGAAGGAAGTATCAAACATGTACTTGGATCTTTCGGCAATGCATCCCACACTTCATAAGCCATTACGAGTGTCTAAATTACACAAAATATAAGTTAATATTCGTTGTTAATAATAAGCCAATATCAGCAATAGGCTCACATCGTAATTAGGGCAACCCCAATTTCTGGTTGTTGAGTTTCTTTCTCTCTGTCACGTAAACAAAGAAAAATATCCTCTCCGCCGCTTCTTTCTGTAGTCCTTAAATTACGATTTGTGATGCAAGTAAAACACCTCGGCGCCACCACCGTTGCACCGAGCGCACTGCCGTTACTACACTAGGAGTCTAACCGGACGGTGACTTGGTTTCTCTTTCTCAGCTACCTCTCGAACTCTCTTAAGGTATAAAATTACTCTTAATCAGTACTCCTTTAGGTGATAATTATTATCATTTGTTAGTAGTAATTTGTGTTAATTTATATTACATACATACATTTGTTGTTATAGTATTTTGTTGCTAGGAGTAATAGCATATATATCGTTAGGGTTTGTTACTCGTTAATTACTAATTATTAACTGGTAGCATTTGTGCAACACCAAGTTTCGAATCGTTTCATAATTCGGGGTCGTGACTAGAAGAACAGTTATCATAAGGCATAAGGCCTTTGGGAAAGAGACTTAGTCCCCTTTGAGTGTGGGTAATGTAGATTAGGTGATCCGAGAGTTCGGTTGGTGCTTTGGAGCCCAAGGGTATAACCGTAAAGTGATAGTTCGAGCCTTTCATGAATTTAGGATTTAAGTTCGGTAAGTTTTAAGGCAAAAGAGAGTTGATAGGGTTGTAGAGCTTCTCAACACCTTTTCATGGATATAAAGATCGTCAAAATCGGAGTTGAAACGAAGAAGTTATGACCATTTGAAGTTAGGGCGATTTTTGGGTCAGCCGCGTACATTGGACGTAAATTGGGTACGTTGGGTGTACTAAGTATGCCTGAGTACGCAGGGCGTAAATTGAGTATGCTCGACATACGCGATCAGTTCCTAAACCCTATATTCATGGTTTGAGCCCTATTTAAGCTCCTTAACTTCCCCAAACCCGCTCCATTCTCAGCCTCCACCTCTCTAACAACCTCTCTTGAAACCCTAACCATAGATTGAGCCTTGTGAGCAAAAGAGAAGGTGTTTTTAAGTGCTTTGGAGTGTTCTTGGTGCACCATGGAGAAGAAGGAACTCATTGAAGAAGTGTTGGTTGCATTGGAGCTTGTAGATCCAGACTTTGTTCACCTTGATCTTTCTTTTAGAGGTATAAAGTTTAAATCTTGATGATGAAATTATTAGATCTGGCTAGTTTTGGGTGTTATGAGCTCTTGGTCACTTTAAGTGCATAAAGTTTAGATCTTGAAAGTTTGTGGCCTTGTTATGGATAAATTTGTAAACTTTATCCATGTAAACATCATTTTGATTTAGATATGAAAGTTGGAGACTTGGACTTAATGGATTAAGTTGAAAAAGATGCACTGTTGGGGTCCCTTTGAGACTTAAAGACTAGATCTTGTTTTTTGGGACCATTCTAATGGATAAAGTTGGAAACTTTATCCATTATGGAGCTACTATGAACCATAAAAATGTGATATTGGTTCTTCTATCCCTTCCATAGAAGAGTTGTGATGTCTTATTGGGTTAAGAACTTAGGGTTTTGGACATTAAGCACTTTATAGCCATGCAAAGTCATTAAGTTGGAAACTTTATGACTTAGGGCATCATTTTAGGCATGGATTTCAGTTTTGGACGTAAGAGCTTAATGTAATATGCTCTTAATGTAGTTTTGGGACTAGGCTGCGTACACTGGGCGTACCTGGTGGTACGCTGCGTGTACGTGGTCGGCGCCCCACTTTTGATCAACATCAGAATACGTTGGGCGTACTTTCTTGGTATGTCGGGCGTACTCCGCTAGGGATGAAATATTGACTTTTGGACCTTGAATGTTGACTTTGATTTAACCAGGGTTAACCAAGTTTAACCTAAGGGCATTTTGGGTAATTTGATTACAGTTTAAGAATTGGGTTCCTGTTAATTGTGTAGGTAACCGGTAGAGATAACTTTTAGACTAGTGATCGGTGCAACTATTTTTTCAGATTGTGAGGTTAGTTTCCTTCATGGTATCCGTAGGTCGAAGGCACCAATGTCGGCTCACTAGTTTATGTTGTAGTATGATGGTTGACTTCGTGACAATTGTCTATTATGCTTGTGTTTGCTTGATAACTTTGCGATTCCCGTTATGATATTATGTGGTAGTAGTAGGGGTGAAAGAGACTCGGTATCTGGTTGAAATAGGCCGAAAGGGATTGCAAGCAAACAGATATGCTTGATAGTATCCGGTTGAAATAGACTGAAGGGGTAGGCAAGCACCCCAGATATGCTTGATAGTATCCAGTTGAAATAGACCTAAGGGTAGGAAAGAACCCAGATATGCTTGATGGTATCCAATTGAAATAGACCGAAGGGGTAGGCAAGCACCCATATATGTTTGGCAGTATGTTTGTTTAGTATGTGGTATTTTAAGGAACTCACTAACCTTGTGCTTATGGTTTTCAGCTTATGTTTCAGGTACTTCTGGTTCTAAGGGGAAGAGCCCGAGATGAGTGCATTGTACACACCACATCTCTTCGTATTTTATATTACTCTAATATATTTGGATGTTATTGATACACTTTGATTCACTATGGTTTTGATGATGTTGTCTTGGATAATGGTTTTATTAATTTAAAAATCAAAATTTTTAGTCTTAATTTTTAGGACGTTACAACTTGGTATCGATGCCTTAGTTTGAGGGATTTGGGCATACTCTCGGGTATTTATGAACTCAAACTGAGGGTTTGGTAGATTTTTCAAAAAAAATGTTTTTAAAAAAGGGTTTTCTAATAAAAGAAAAATGGTGTGGTACATGCAATCGGCCGAGTTCAACTAAGTTTTCCCAAAATACCTACACATGTTTTATGATATGATTTGATTTATGAATCTGTGAATCGAATGCTAGTTAGGGCTAAGGATTTGCTCAGGATTTGCATGATAGAATACTAGGAGAGATGCCTTTATATGCCTACTGTATGAGCTTGTAGACTTGTATGCTAGTATTGAGTAATCAATGATAGGATGACATGTTTAGGTTATGCTTGTTCCGATTACTCGATGCTCGAATGCTGCTTGCTTTGTGCTTTTAGGAGTTTCCATTAACCTCAGCTAACTAGTAAGCGAGTACACTAAGTTACATATTGATGAGACTAGATAATTTTAGAAGGTTGGAAGTGGTTACTTAGAGGTGCCCGAGATGATTCTTGAGGAAAGTATGGATAGGTGTGGAAGGTAGTATTGGGCCCGTACTACTGGAAGCACAGGATCCATACTCGACTCGAGGAAAATTTGGGGATTCTAAGTAACTGGTTAAGGAAGGTGGCATGATTTGGCACCATGATTCGTTACGGTGTATTTCCGCCTTTATTGGTTTATCGGGTATGATCGTCGAAGTTGAGGATGGGTCAGATGATTGTTCGGGCCTCAGTGGCCATGTCTGTTGGGTTTCAGTGGTGCAGAAACGTGGAAGGTAGTTGATTTTTAGGTCTGGAGGGCCTTTCTCAAGTAGTGATAGTAGTGGTGTCACAAAAAAAATCACTCAACATATACTAATATCCGCACATTTTTTAGT